AACTTGAATCTTGATTGAAACTGCTAACACAATCACATATGTTTTCAAGAAATAAACTCCAAGGCAATTGCAGTGCCCTGTTTTATTGCCTAAAGAAACTCTGTTCAGATAACTTATGTCATTGTCATGGCATATTTCAGGAAGTGATGCATAAGGCTATTAAAATTGCCTTAGATTGAGTCTTGAGAACCAACTTTAATATTTTTTAAAGAATTGTTGTGATTATGTTTGCTTCATTTTGTACTTCTGTTTGCATGTACATTTAAATGGATTGAATTGCATGTATTTAGGTATTGCAACTGCATAGGGGAGGTGATTCTTTCTACTTTCATTGGAAAAGTGTGGATGTGCATGTAAAAAGTATGATTCTAAAGAGAAAAGTTTCAAGAAAAGACAGACAAAGTGAGAGAGAGAGAGGGAGAGAAAGAGAAAGAGAGATGGAGTGAAGAAAGTAAGGTGAGAGAAAGAAAATATAAGAACCGAAATACAGACTTATACAGCTCACTGGTACTCCACACCCGGCCAGACTTCTGATCGGTAGAATGGCAAATGTCAATCAAGTTTCTGTTGTCAGCTCAATGATATAATAATGTTTGCCTACCTCAGTGGAAGTTATTTCAGGGTGCATAAGCTCATTAACTTAATCTGTACTCCATTCAGCACTAACCCTGGATGACAGCCAATATTTTTACAATGAAATATCACCTTTCTCCATTATCTTTTCCCTCTCAATATAAAGAAAGAAATGTATCTGTTTTCTTTTCTCTTTAGTTTCTCTCCTTATCTTCCCTTTCTTAATTATATATTTTGTCACTCTTTTCAAGGTGTTTTGTTCTTCAGTTTCTTGCAAAGTTTCCTACCCCTGTCCATTGGCAAGCCCAAGCTTTTTTGCCCCATATATTATTGACCACATCTAAGATTCCAGTAAATAATGACGACTGTATATCGAGCAGAGAGAGACTTACTGGAGTTTGAATCGGACCAATTGAAATAATATATTTATATTAATTTATGTTCACAATTCTATGATACTTGGTAACATACGGGACATAGGATTGCCCCTATTAATATCCCTCCCTCTTTTCACCTCTCCTCTGCCACTTCTCCCTCTTTCTCTGCTTCTTTTCGCCTTTCTTTAAAGTATCTCTCCTTCTTTCTCTGTCTCTTCTCTCCTTTTCTTTATAGTATCTCTCCCTCTTTCTCTGTCTCTTCTCTCCTTCTTTCCGTGCCTCTTCTCTCCCTTTCTTTATAATATCTCTCCCTCTTTCTCTGCATCTTCCCTCCCTTTCTTTATAGTATCTCTCCCTCTTTCTCTGCCTCTTCTCTCCCTTTCTTTATAGTATCTCTCCCTCTTTCTCTGTCTTTTCTCTCCTTTCCCTGCCTCTTCTCTCCCTTTCTTTATAGTATCTCTCCCTCTTTCTCTGCCTCTTCTCTCCTTTTCTTTATAGTATCTCTCCCTCTTTCTCTGTCTCTTCTCTCCTTTCCCTGCCTCTTCTCTCCCTTTCTTTATAATATCTCTCCCTCTTTCTCTGTCTCTTCTCTCCCTTTCTTTATAGTATCTCTCCCTCTTTCTCTGCCTCTTCTCTCCCTTTATAGTATCTCTCCCTCTTTCTCTGTCTCTTCTCTCCTTTCCCTGCCTCTTCTCTCCCTTTCTTTATAGTATCTCTCCCTCTTTCTCTGTCTCTTCTCTCCTTTCTCTGCCTCTTTTCTCCCTTTATTTATAGTATCTCTCCCTCTTTCTATGTCTCTTCTCTCCCTTTCTTTATAGTATATCTCCCTCTTTCTCTAAATCTTCTCTTCTTCACCTCCAAGTCTACTGCTGTTTCAAAAATCACCCAAGGGCAATAGTTTCAATATTTGTATACCGGGAATATATTATACACTGTAAATCTTGAGTAATTCAGCGAAAGGGCAGAAAATGATAACTTCTACTGAAAAAGCATAACATTTGAATTTCAATCATTTGTTTTCTTTTGACATTTTTTCCTTCATATTCTTCCCATGTAATCAATTTCTGCTCGTATTTCATCCTAACATTAAATATCCCGTAATATTTTGAGTCAAATTCCATGAATAATCAACTAAAGATGGATTTCATTTGATTCATGCAATTCTTTACGTTCAAGGGTTCAGAGACTTAGCTTCCAGTAATTGCTGCTATTTTAAAAAGGTGACAATAATAATAGAAATAATAGGTCCATTTATATAGCCCAGCTACTATATGAATATACTCTACTGCACTTAATACAGGGTATCATATCATTATCCTGGCTTTAGCTGATAGAAACTGTTATGATAATCATGATAATCATAATATTTCTCTCACTCTTTATTAATATTGATGACTTGCTGCTCGAGAAATTATCCTTTAATTTATGCAGTCAATACCTTTAAAAGGAGAACCATATCATCAATATCGTTTGTTGAGACTTGATTGAGAGGCAGAGTAACGTTAACTCATGTTCTACACAGATGTTATGTCCTTCTTGCTCTCAAGAGACAATATAGTTAGTCTGATAGAAACATTACAATATATTTTGTCTGTTAGAAACATGACAATATATTTAGTCTGTTAGAAACATGACAATATATTTTGTCTGTTAAAAACATGACAATATAGTTAGTCTGTTAGAAACATGACAATATATTTTGTCTGTTAGAAACATGTAAATATATTTGGTCTGTGAGAAACATGACAATATATCTGGCCTGTTTAATAGAAACATGACAATAAATTTTGTCTGTTAGAAACATGACAATTTTTTCTGTAGTTTGGTGATTATGTTTCATAGAGATACACATACACATTCTAACAGACAAAATTGCCATGTTTCTAACAGACCAAATATATTTACATGTTTCTAACACTAACAAACAAAATATATTGTCATGTTTCTAACAGATGCATAAGATCAGTTCCTAGCATTATGGGATGAAATTTCTTGAGAATTTCCAATTTTGGAGGAAAAAAAGGAGAATTGTTTAGACATTTTAATAAAAATCTACAAATTGATGATATGATAAAGTAACTAATTTGAGGTACCTTTACATCAGTTGAGTTTACCCTAAAAAACGGCCATTGCAGCAATCGGGCGATGGAAGAACTTAATTTAGTTAATTTACTTTTAATTAAGGAACTTTACATAACTATCTTGATCTAAGGAGACTCGAACGAACGAACCCTCAAATGTCCCGGCTTGCCCTTTCCTCTCCGAGCCTTCAACATGTGGCACACAGACGGGTCTCAAATAAGACCCTAGCTACTATGTCAAGACAATTAAGAGCTAATTGGTCATCCAACATCGATGTAAACTGCTGGATTCAGCAGCAATCAGATCAAAATTGATTTCAATCTTGGTTCGACCCCCTGCCGCTTGCTCCCTCCCTTCATCAAGTTTCTTTACAGCATCCAATTTCTAATTTGCTTTTTGTCGTTGACAATAATATCTCCATCCATTTGGATTGTTATTGCATCAGTGCAAGCTGTATTTGTTTGTTTGTTTGGAAGCCAGAAGGGCCTTAAGGTATATGATTTTATGAGTTAGCACCCTTCTGGCTCCAAACAGACGATATGCACATACTCTGTTCAATGAACGTTTAGACTTGACCTTTAGCTGTTACATGTAAATCTTGATCTTGTATAAGTATTGAAAGCCAATATTCATGAAAGCATCGTGCAACTTTGGTCAGGGTTTAAATGCATAGATTTCGTCCACCGATTTACGCATTGCCAATTTGTGAACCTCTTTGACCTGCACAGATCACTGTATGTCAATGAAAGCTTGTCATTATGAAATGAATTAATCATATTCTTTTTTTTCCCAAATTAATTACGTCTAGTAAGTTTTTTTATTTTTATAATTGAATTAATTTCATTCACACAAAATTTATGGGTTCATACTCAGCATTCCATACATTTGTGGACTAACTTAATCCAGGTTTAAATTAAACCACTTTAAAGAATATTTGCCTTACTGCTCTCCTAAGGCATGATTTTACTATCAAATATAACACATATTTGTAAGGTGCTTGTACATTATCTTTTCTTGATTATTTTGCCTAAATCGACTCTCATTATTTTTCCTTAATTTGAGAATCAAATTAACTTTTGCATTAATGACAGTGTGCATAGAAAGACCTCCTGTCTACAATGACCACCTGCCTATACAGATTGCTTTTCTTTTCTGCCTTCAACAATCTACAGGTTTCACTGTGTTTTTAGAATTCCAGCAAAGTGTAGCAGCATTTTTTTCTCACAATTCTGATGCTAACTCCTAACACTAATTACATGTACTTGATTATGTATAGAAATGAGCAGGGGACCTATGGCTTTATACAATTTCTGAGGGATTAGATAAACTACTTTAGATAAATGCCTTACCTAAGGGCACCATGTCAATGTCTCGGCTTTGAATCCATGATCTGCTACTTTCCAAGACTTTTGCTATAAAGTTGCACCTTTTAGACCAAATGAACCGACACTGATATCTACATAAGCTATAACTCTAGGGTGAATTTTAAAAATCAAATTATTCACCTGCATAAGGCATTAAACATGAGTATTTTCATTTACGATGGGGATCAAGTATAGCCATGTTGTGATTAAATAAAGTGTTTTCCTTTACCGTTAATTTCTCTTTTCTGTTCCTCTCAAATCCTCTCTCTCTCTCTCTCTCTCTCTCTTTTAAGCATTACTCTCTCTGTTTCTCTTTTTCTTCCACTTTTTCTCCATCTGTCTCATTATCTGTTCTTTTCTCTTGATCTCTCATTCTCTCTATTTCTTTTGCTCTCCTACATTTTCTCTATCTTCCTCCATCTGATTAAAATCTATCTCATTTTACCTTTCCCCTGGATATCCATATCAATCTTTTTATTTCCTGCTCATCATGAACTCAATTATGCTGATTATGAGACATGGCCATTTCAGGCCTTGCCCTTGCACTGCTTTGTTTGCCCCTGTATGTTCTTTACACCCCTTCCCCCCGCATAGAATAACCCAAATGTCATTTGCATTCTATCTCTTTACAGCAAACGGAACAGTCTACTCGTGGGGAGGAGGGGTGGATGGACAGCTTGGGCATGGAGAAGATGTGCAGTATCTTGCTCAACCCGAGGCCTTGGCCGATGGTGCTCTCCCTGGCAGAGTGGCTCAGGTGGCGTGTGGAGATTCGTACAGTGCAGCACTGCTTGGTAATGATGATTATCTTCATAAATTATCTTATTTACTGTTATTCTCACATCCCCCTCTTACACTCCTAATTCTTACCCTCTCAATTTTCTTTGTCGCTTTCCTAGGTTTTAGTCTTGTTTATGATTACATATGACTTTCATCGGAAAGCAACCATTATTACAACTCTTCCTAGTTAAAATACTGCCAACATTAGTCATCACTTGTATGAGGTCCATGACTCCTTATTGCCATCAACATCATCATCATTATCTCAGCAGTGCCCTTGACATCATTATTATCATCATCATCATTGTTGTTGTCATCATCACTGTCATTACTATCATCATCATCATCATCATCATCTGAATGTCATTGTCATCATCATGGTCATCTTTGACTTTTTCATCATTACCATCATCATCATTACCATCATCATCATTATCAAGATCTTCAACAGCAGCAGAGTTATCAACTGCCTTCTCTTCTTCACTTCACCCATTCTCTATTAATCAACCTTTGTTCCTGTCTCTTATTTCTCTTTCTCCCCCTCCCCTCTTTCTCTCTGTCTCTCTCTCTCTTTCTCTCTTTTCTCTCTCTCTCTGTCTCTTTCTCCTTCTCTCTCTTTTTCTCTCTTTCTGCCTCTTTCCCTCTCTCTTTCTCTTTCTCTCATTCTCTCTCTTTCTCTCTTTTCTCTCTTTCTCTCTCTCTTCTCTCTCTCTCTCTCTCTCTATCCTATCCCAAACTCTTTATCTGAAGCAATAACATAAGATCACCAAAAACAACAATCATTTCTTATAAGTGTGAGGCCTAATCGAGGGAAGTGTCGGTGCCCTTTGCAGAAACTAAGCTGGACACTAGTCTTCTTTATGATCTCTCCCATCATACCAGGGAAATATCAACCAACGCTGTGCTTCAAATTGAATTATTCATGTCAAAGAGCCTGGCTTTCTTAATCCCTAGTTTGCTTCCATCTCTTCCAAACCTGACAATAGCTATGTTCACATGGTATCGTAGTAGTTACAAACTTCAAGTTTGCGCAACCGTAGCGAAAGGGCTTTTCCAGCTGCGGCACCTTCTCTTTGGAATAATTTACCATTTAATTTGAGAATCATAACTTCCTTACAAACCTTTTAATCCAAGCTGAAATCTCATCTTTTTTAACAATACTTGTACTTGGCACTATGGCACTCATCCAAACTCTCTTATTCGTTCTATTTTTGTATAAATGCCTATTATTATTATTATTAAGTTATAAACAATGAAGCACAAGGCATAACAACGGTTTACAAGGGACCGAAAGTGTTTATAGTCAACTATGAGCTGGGGAAAGCATTCATTTTAATTACAAGGTGGTGCATAGCCTAGAAATTAATCGCGTCTACACGGCCCATAACTTAGAGTGAGGACCCACTGCTGCTGATTGCTATCACGATATAAAACCTTAAGATCTGTCACGGTTTGTAACGTCAAGTTAACCTCAAGTTTCGTAACCGTGCGTCTATACAGTCCCTAACTCCCAAATAACTTTGAAGTTTATAACCATGACCTTATACCTTCCAGTTAACGGACTGTCGTATGGACATCCCTGTTGAGATCCTCTTTCCTTATCCATTACCGATCTAGACTAAATCTCTGTTTCTTCCTGCGGATACAGCTCTCATCTTTTCTCCCTTGCACTCCTTAAAAAACTAAGTGAGGCATGGAGATACGGTTTATATGAAAATTAGCCCCCATCATAATCGCCCCTTTTAAAATTGTATTATTTTCTCTGCCACTTCTACATGGCCAGCGTGACCTTTTTCCCTACTTCAATTTAAGCCCTGAGTGATGATTTATGCGTTTCTTAGGTATAGGGGGATAGTTTAGACATGCTATTTGCATGAAGTGAATTAACATGGATGATGTAAATGGAAATATAAAAAAGCCAGAAAAATAAACTTTCCAAGGTGTAAATGTCAGTGGCGTGGCGGGGGAAATATCATAAATATGGAAAGTGCCAGCCTGGCCTTTTATATATTAGTGACTTAATAATGGGGGAAAAATCAATCAATTTTTTCCGCAAACTGTATTTTTCATCCCCCGTGCCAATGGGCATACTTTGGCTGTGATCCGTGCTAATGCAGTGCGTCAAGCTGCAGGTTTAATCATGAGAGACTACTTGCCCGAGATCTTCAGTCATGTGTCGGAAAGGGAGTAATGTCAATTGCAAGAATAATCAGTTGTTGCATCGTATTAATATGTTTTTTTTGTAAATCAGCATTAAGAGTGAGAAATGAGATGGAACATGCAAAATACAAGCACTTGAGGAGTCAGAGTAGATGTAATGTAGATTTGCAGCTCATATCCGACACCGGTACATAAGTCGGTCTTTTGACGTGATTGCTACAACCTTTTCTGCCCCCCAAAAGGTGAATTCCATGCTACTATATTTCATGTTGTCAAATTGCTTCCACATTTTTGCAGTAGTGATCATTGAGAAGAAAGGCAAGCTCTCGTAACAATTGCATTAGATTTGATGAAGAAAACAGGTCATAAGTTCTTTGATTGTGTACCTCACTCTGACATTTTTTTTTTAAATAGAGAGAGAATTCAGTTATTGTTAACGTCGAGTGTTGAAATCAATGTTAATTTTGTTAATGATCTTTTTCATTTTTTAGCTAAAGTCTCTCTCGTCTCATCCCCCCCCCCCCCCCACAATGTTAATTTAAGTATTTAACCCCTTCTTTTCTCCATTTTTCAGGTGATGGCTCCCTCTACATGTGGGGAAAGAGCAGTCACGTGATTCAGGCTGACCAGCCGTCCTCTCAGAAGGTGTACCGACCTGTTGGCATTTCCCTGAATGGACGTTCCATTGCTATGGTAACCTGTGGCTCGTGGCATACCGCAGCAATCACGGGAAAGCCAGGTCTGTAAAAAAAAAAAAAAATGCAAAGGAATTAATGAATCAGATAGGGTGTAAGGGAAAGAAGGAGAAAGCCATAATGATGTGGTGTAGGAATACACCCTTAGGCATATTTGAGCATGTTTTGTGCCAGGACGGATTGTCTTTGAAAGCCAGAAGGATGTTAAATCATACATATTTACACTGATTAAACACCCTTTCTACTCTCAACAAATGATGAATACTTGAAGTTAAGAGCAAGAAGGGCATTAAAGGAAACCTCACCCTAAAGAATAAGTGTAGGTTTGCTGAAAAATGAAATTTAGTCCTCACTATTGATGTACAATACTCCTTACAAAAATGTACAAGAGATATGTAAATGAAGATATTCTTTGCATGATGTAATGCCATTTAGCATGACATGGGCACAGCCATTTTCTTTACAATGTGACGTACCAGATGAACTTGTACATGTATCATGCACCGAGCTCTAGTTGGAAAGACTTTTTGATTCAACAAAACTCCCTCGCTTTTCAGTGAGGGAAAATCATAGCTGAGAAGGTAAAACACATATCTGGTGACAAAATATATAACAGGGGAACGATTGTAACTCATTAATTTAAAAGTACTAAAATATAGCAGTTGACAAATCTATTTCATTTATGCGAAACCTTTACCCCAGAAGAGCAACAACTTATTAATGCAATTTGCATCCTGTCAATTGTATTAATAAAGATAATAGCAGTTGATAATGAAATACTTCATCACCACACACAGTGGGAAGGAAGCATCCATAAATTTGAATACGCATATTACGTCACGTTATCAACAAAATGAAGATGACCATGTCATGCTGAGAAACTGTACATTATGCTAAGAATATCGTGTTTCACACACTACGGTGGGGAATCTTATACATTAATGGGCAAGAATATAATAAATCTTTCAGAATAACGAAAGTCATTTCTTGGGGTGAGGTTTGTGTACTGTCAGGAAAAGTAAATGCCCTTTTTGGCCCTCATAAGATGGTTCACTAGAAGGTTATAAACAGAGATTTTGGTGAAGTATCTACTTGATCTAATAAAATCTAATTCTCTATACCCCTCCCCTCCCCTCCCCCCCCCCCCCTCAAAAAAAAAATTCAAACATTTTAGTCCATATTCTAGATATTATCCTATGTGTATAATAACAAAACAATTATTGGATGTATGTCATGTTAAACTTTTCAGCTCCTGTGATGTTAATCAACTTTTTAATTTAACTAATATGCCTTTATTGTGCAAGGGAAAGGCTGTGTGGCTCATCCTTTTTGTCTTCCACATACCTATGAAATGAAAACTGCTATTCGTGCCATGAAAAGGGCTATTTTGCTGGACAGTTCATTGAACTTTGCGCAAAAATTAGAACGGGAGATCAAAGAATTTCAAGTTACCTTGGAGCCATCAGAGGGGAGGAGAACAAACACGTAAAAGACACAATACTGGCATTATATTTCTTTTCTATATGACCTAATAATATTAACGATTCTTTTTAATAAAACTACAACAGATAAAGAAAGGAGGCGCAGAATAAAAGAGATTGAAATTATCTCTCTTTATATGCTCCATCCTTCTCTTTTTCGACGCAATTGAGAGTATGATAGGAATAAAAAGATGGAAGTATCTTCTGTAAGGTATCCTAGAGGGCATGCGATAGTACAATTGTCCGTCAGTATTGTTGTAGCGGTCACAAATTACTACCCCGGGGCTGTTGTCATCATCGTATGCCTTCAGACAAGCAATTGTAGAAGGGACGGAGGGAGAGACGGAGAGAGAGAAGGAATCTAGATTGACCAATAGACATATGATTGCTGTCTCTTTTGTTATCGTCCGTGACAATATGATGACCGGCATTGATTTGTTTGGTGGGGTTTTCTATTTCTATTATCGTCCGTAGTTCCTAGGGAGGCATGTTAGCTTATAAAGCGCCAGATCAAAAGACGCGGACAATGATGTTCCATGACGTTATTAATTCAAATATTGCATTTTAGATTTGATTAAAGATCGTGACATGACCCATGATGCACTTTGGTCCGCCTCTTGTCCGTGCGGCTCCCCCCTTTTTTTGTTACCGCTGGGGCGTGTGTGCGTAGGCATTCAATTAAATTCAATGTCAGATTCATCGGGGAGCGCTTGCTGAACTAAATGTCAAGAGACATTGACTTATGATCGGACGTAAACACAATTTGCATAAGTAGCTTATGAGGCATGACAATAAAAACAAACAACCATGAAGTGATCTGTACAAGAAATATACATTTGTAGTCATAAAAGAGATGAGATTCAGGGTTAATAATCTGCATGTAATAGTGCATTAAGGTTAATGTAACTTGTTGTAGGTAGTTATAAAGAGTAGCCATTGAAGAGTTTAATGTGCATGAATTTTTTAGCTACATCGGACTTGAACCAAGTATATCCGGTCTAAATATTTGAACCCTTTACTCTCTTTGGTGACCAATCGAACAAACAGGGGCTGTCAAAAGTCAACTTTTGCCTGGTGTACATCGTACCTGTACTACATATATATATATATATATATAAAAAAGTGTGAGAATTCACAAGCCGAAAGCTCGTAATAAACTTGTAAAGTACTGCTACATCTCACGTTCCTAGACCTTTTTTTTCACGCCTATATGTATATATATATATATATATATATGTATATACTTGAAACTGTGTGGCGGTACGTGGTTTCGATCCATGGTGATTAAAGAATGAAGAAAATTTTCTTTAGTGTTCAAACCTTTAATCTGCTGCTAGGGATAGGCTTTCCAGATGCAGAATACACAATATGTTTATTGTATATATTTGTAAGGATATGAACAATAAGCCGTCCCAGTTTACGTGCACTTTACTCTAAAGAAAAAAAAAAACCTGTCCCCCCCCCCTTGCCTCCGAGGCTTACAGTTGTTTGAAAATAATGTTTCAGGAAGAGTTGAGCAGTTCCCTGACACGATCGCCGAAAGGTCAGGCTTTCTTCTACCTGTCTTACTAATATCCGCTTGTGTTCGGACGGGAGAATAAAAGCGACGTTTAGTTCCAATATTGGTTTTATCCGTCAGCTTTCATTTCTTTCCCTCTGCGTGTTTTGCCCATCAGAGATCCTGTGGCACCGCTTCTGCCTTTCTTCTTCACTTAACCGGGGTCTCTCTTCCTTTCAAGAGGCTGGCACGCTCTGACACTTTCCCTTTTCTTTAAGCCTGTCATTATTCTGGAACAAAAATTGATTATTTGGTATCTCGATGCTGTCTTTCTTTATGTTTGATAGCGGGATTTTTAAGATGAGGTATGTGACCCAGGGATGCACTTTATCACTTGGTCTGCTTCTTTGTTGACCGGTTTGAATCTGAGAAGAGAAGGTATTTCCAATATATATCACTCTATTCAATGTATTGTTCTGAAGTTTCCTTGCAATCATCTCCTTTTCTCAGACTGGTGTCACATGCCTCAGGGTTGTCCCTTCAACCCAGTTTGATCCTTTTTCTTTTCTTTTTCTTGAATGTCTTGTCCTGCTTTCATATTTTCCATTTTAATCTTGATCAAATCTTGGCCTACCTAATGACTTATTCTTATTACCAGTACCTTTTCCCCTCTTCACAACTCTTTGTCCCTTCTGTCATTCGTTCATCTCCCTTTCTCTTTCTGTCTTTTGTCGTTCTCTTTCTCTTTCTCTTTCTGTTTCTTTGTATGTCTCTTGCCCTCCCCCCCCCCCTCTCTCTCTCTCTCTCTCTCTCTCTCTGGCAACCATTGCTCCTGGCTTTATTTCATCTCAGACAATATCATGGTTCTTAGGATTGCAATCAGGCTTTAAGTTAGATTTTAGGTTTAATGTTTTATTTGGATGTAGGTTTAGATCTTAGATCCAATAATAATAATAATAATAATAATAGCTCACATTTATAATGCGCCTAATACTTTGTTTCTAGGCGCGGAACATATTATTACCCCGGTCATAGGATTCAGGCTTACCCGCACACAATGTATGCACATTCTCCACTCCCTGGGGAGCATTCCAGCCAGGCGTCTTTTTTACAAGCGCACACGTGCTAATCTAACCACATTAGCTTTCGCATCCTACCGGGTACCCATTTACACCTGGGTGGAGAGTGGCAAATGTAGATCAATGTCTTGCCAAAGGACATTAGTGCCGCGGTGGGACTTGAACCGCGAACCTTGTGATCCACAGTCCGGTGACATATCCACTCGTCCACGACACCTCTACAATGCTGAATTCCATCAGTGTATGCAAGTTAAAGAGCAAATCATAGGCCAACAGTCCTGGTGAAATTTCCATAAAAATCAAAGTAAGGGGCACCTTACATTTTGATAAGGGCAGAAACATAATATCGAATGGGGACATGAGGCCAAAATGAAATAAAGCCAGGAGCATGGGTTGTCAGTGGTAGAGAGAGAGGTTGGAAGGGAGAGAGACACAGAGAAGAGACAGAAAAAGAGAGACAGAGACAAAGACAGAGAAAGAGAAAGAGAAAACATCCAAAATGTGGATAGACATGATCACTATACAAGAACCCACTATTGTTATTGTTATTATTACTATAATTAATTATTAAAGCAGTTATTAAAATTGGAGCGAATATATATTTCAGGATGACAGGGGCATAACAACCTCTTTAAACTTAAGAATGGCATCTGATACTTAAATACTTTATTCCCTTCCTTATTGGCACTATCACACTTGAGAATGTATAAAGAAGAACAAGTCAGTACACATTCTAATGCGTACTAAGAAACCATGTAATAGCTCGGATTGAGATTCCTGCAGTGCATTATGGGTGTGCCCTTTGACCTTTTCATATGCTTATCCAGTGCAGGATCATTTCAAACAAAAGAGAAAGAATAGCGCGGATCTTATGCACGATTGATTGGTAATAATGATGATGTATTCAATAATGATTTACATGCTGACATTCATTGTACGGGTTGCAGTCCAGAGAAAGTCGAACTGCACTGTGGGAAGATATAGGTGTGATGAACTTTGAACTTGTGTATATCGTGAGGTGCGAGTGATCTGGATCGATTGCAACTCGCTTTGATTTCTATAATGATCATCTTGAGAAGTAGGCGCTTTTAATTTTACTTCCGGGATTATGTGTATAGAACATTTGATTAATAAATTGATCGATTGCAAATACTTACAAGGCAAGAGCAAGTTCAAATAATGCGTCGGAGGCTCTCGCAAAACGATCAAATATGATATGAATACGTGTTTGTTCTTAAAACTGGCCCGTTATATATTCCGTACGTGTATATCCGCACAAAACAGCCAACTCTACAAAATTCTTGTCACAATTTTACAGGTGTTTATTCAGTCAAGGGGTGATCTGGATTAGTTATCTGTCAGACTTCGATATATATATATATCGAAGTCTGACAGATAACTATATATATATATTATATATCTTTTCTTATGGTTAGTTCTAGTCTGCTTTAAACAAGCGCTCATAATTCAATTGATCTCAATGTGTTACGTTAAGACTAAGACAGTGAAATGTTCACATTACTCATGCGCTTTTGTATAGAGCATGGGAACATTCTCTATCCTACCACCTCCCCAACTTGCACATGAAGCGAAACATTTGATTGGTGAGAAAACAGTTCTAAATGGATAGGAAAAGAGAGGGATCAGAGGAGAAAAGACCTTTGTTCCGAGAAATGAAATAGAGATGGATTGCGCCATATTGCGGACTTGACATTTATGATCACATTAATCTCAGTGGAAAACATTAACAAGTAAAGAAATGATTAGTCTAACCCTTACACTGCCGCAGACAGTCATGCCATGTATAAATGTATTGACAGATGGAGCTATCAGGAGGCAGAGGGTTAAATAAAATATCAATAGTATGCACACATTTTCCATCTCCCCTGATTAATTGCCCATTAATCAACCAACACTTTAAAGCCTGGTTATTTGTGAGAGTAATACTTTTCTAGAGTGAAGTTTTCTATAATTCGATACTGCATAAAAACTGATAAGCATATTGGGGGAACCACAGATCAGCGTTAAACTATAATTAGTTTCTTTTTCAGAGCCAGAAGGGTGTTATTCTATGATAAAGTATACTTCAATTAATGCCTTTCTGCCTCAAAACAGACAAAGTGTTGTCATTTTGTTGGGATGGTTTTAAATCTCTCTCCTTTGTTCACAAGTGCAAATCTGTGATTGGTTGTTGTATGTTTAGAGAAACACTTCATGCCACGTGATGCTGTTTGAACTCGGGTCATAATGCTTTTTGATATATTTGCTAAAAATGATACTTTGAAGTACAGAAAATTAGAATAAAACTTTTCTGTAAAATTAAATCTGAATATGAAAAACAAACTTTCATTTAATATAAGACTAATTTAGCAATGTATGCAGATGCAGTGAATTTTGTGACAGCATACAAGGCCAAGTCATATATTTTTGAGTAATCTGCCTCATAAACCCTGTACTGGTATATTAATGAATTTCATAAATGAATTAAAGGCCTGTCACAGAGACTTGTCCTCTTTACACATTTAAGCTGAATTAATTATAAGGATGATGATCATGTTCGGGAAGCAAATAAGCACTGTCTGCATCACGTGAACCTTTAACTTTCCACTATGCTAAATCTCAGACGGTTGTGGTCCAGTAGTCGCCCATTTGTTGCCCTATATGTGTTCAATACCCTTAAGTCATTTCAAAGAATGTCTACTTATGTGCAGTCAGACTGCATCAAGAAAGACCGCCATCTTTCATATTTAGGTTGAATTTTTCATGCGAATGAACTGTGGCATGGTCAGACCAATTACAGAGATGAAAGGCTTAACCTATATACCGCTTAAAGAAAGATGGACGCTTCATCTGTCCCAGTTTCTTTTGTAAAGAGACAAGAGAAATCATAATCACGTTAAACTGCAATCTCCTTTTTTGCCTTGTATCCCATATTTTTTCGTTGCTATTCATGACTTGTGGTAGTGTGGCGTAAAAAATACAGGAAATCAGACTTAGCTGTAAGGTATTCGTGACCCGCCACTGCATTACTTAAGTTCGATCAAAAGGCAGCCATAGGATCGACGAGAAAAGAAAAGACCCAATTTGAATTGATATCCCCTGTGAATTCATCGCAAGGCCCCTTTGATTCTTGTTTGTTATCCAACGATCTGGGTCAATTGCAATGTAACAATTAGAGCGAACCATAGCTAAGGAAACAAGTTTGTAATCTTCTGTAATTGTTGCACTGTAATAGGTTAAAAGCCCCCCTTTTTATGTTGGTTATTTTAGTTTGTTGGTCCGGCACCGGGGCTGCGAAAATACAGCTTTTGTTGTGACGGGAATTCCCTACGGCTGTTTTTATTGGAAGTCACTTTGAGTAATTCATATCTGTCTCATTTAGCTGGGTGAATTTTTTTTCTTCAAAAAAGGTAAAATAATTGCAAATCAGTGAAGTACGGGTCAGTATCCAGCCATGAAAAGATGATTTAGATTTCTTTTCATACGTAGCTTGAGGATGTGAAACCCAGGAAATGTTAGTCCAATCTCTAAATTTCGCACAATAATGATTTCATCTGCTAAACAATGTGGTCTAAAATTGGATGGGTTGAGGGTCTTTCTGAAAGACAAAATTATGGACGATGCACTTTGTATTTATCACTAAAAGGTTTCATTATATATGTCTTTTGTTTGGTTGGACAGTAGGCACAAATTTCATGCAATACAAGTTCTGTTTGTATGCGACAGATGTAATATAGTTTTAAGGTGAATGTTTTCTACATCTGAGCATCATCTCATTTGATATAAACATCTTATTTAACCTGTTTGATATGATTTGATAATTGTGTAACATTATGTTTCCAAAGACCCAAGCCAGAGATATTTTAAGCGTGGTATTTAACAGGTTAAGAAGTATACAGGTATGAAAATCTGATGTGCAGTACAGGTCGGGGTGGGTTATACACTTGGATTAATTATATATATGTATATAAATATCGTCCATTAGACCTTTCTTTGTTATTCAAGATATGTCATCACTGAAGTCTTCACACCTATAATTTATATATTCTTTAAAACTAGAATGGATTAACCGATGACATTAAGAACTCCAAAGATTTAAAACAAAGTAAAAGAAAACACTTATTGTTAAATATGCAATTCTCTTTGCAGCTCAGTAAAGGTAATATCCCAATGGCAGCCCCCCCCCCCCCTTCCTTTTTTTACAATGTTAACAATGTGATATTATTATTTGGGGCAATAACTTGACAAGCAACTTTGCCCCTCCCCCTGCACATACTGGTTTATCATATTGTTTCTCCCTTTGTCACTATTTTTTCTTTTTATGTATGTAAAATAAATATAATGAAACAAATTGAGGATAGGCAACCCCCAAAAATGACAAGTCATGTGGATGTAAGGCATAAAGGAGCTGCTGAAAACTTGTCACGATTCCATGACCAAAACCATTGTGACATGTTACATTAATGAAGTAGCTGACAAATCCCCCCTCCAAGAAGTGAGCTGTTATACTATGTGTTTGGACTACAAATAGGTATTCTTTTCATCATAAAAGAGAAACAGGTTCAGGACTAGATGTTGGTTTCCGAGGTTTATAGAACATATTCAAGCCCACTCTACTCATACCAAGAAAGAAAACAATTTGTGTTACAAATCAACTCTTTAAAACTTTAATAATTATTCCATATCAAAGTATTGTTGAAGGGATTTTGAACAAACAATATGAATTACATATCTTTACAGAGAGACAGCCACTGGAGGAGGACTCAGACACCTCTGAGGAGGAGGAGGAGGATTTGGATGCCTTGATTACCATGGAAACAGGTGATGGAAGAGATGCGTTCCAGGATAGGGCTGACAACTTCTGGGATATGTCTCATGAGGTAAAAAAAGCGGAGGATACCTCCTACGACTCGTCTGTTATCCCAAAAGTGGCCAGAAGTATTTTGATGTTTGATGTAAATTAGGATGTTCCTTTTATGCAAATGTAGGTGGCATTGTTTTGATTCAGGCTGATGAATGAGATGATGTGAAGAGAGGAAGAGAGATGTTTGCCTCTAATTTTCAATGTGTATATGTAAATCTGGTCTTCCATAGAGCTTCCTCCCCCTCTTCTTTTTCACTGGCTTTTATCTCTCACTCATTCATCCACCCTTCCCTTTTACTCCCCTCTCTGTTGCTTCATCCAATTTCTTATGTCTTCTTGATATTCTTCTTCTTTTCTTTTTCTTCTTCTTCTTCGTCTTCGTCTTCCTTTTCTTCTCCTTCATCTTTTCTTTTTTTTCTCCAATACTCTCTCTTCCTATCCTTTTCTCTCTTTCCGTCTTTGCTGATAAAGTGTTTAAAAAATAATCACTTATTTGTTGAAGGCTGTTTTTGTGCATTTCAATTCCATACACTTCCGTCTCTCCTTCCCCAGACTGCCTCTCCAGAAAAGAACAATGCCACCTCCAATCCTCCTGCAGTGAACAACTCAATGCCACCGTACAGGCTTGCAAGGGAGGGCACCACCCTTACACTGGAGGAGTTCTATTCCGCTACCCCTGTGCCATCCAATCGTCCAAGAGAGCTTCGACGGGCGAGTCTTACAGAGAGAAAACGGGCAGCGCAGGAGGAGAAGGTGCAAGGTGCCGACGATCGGGTGAACGCTGAAATGACAGCGGAGGAATCGGCAGAGGATGCAGGAAGAGGGAGAATCGCTGATGATTCATCCGTGGATGAAAACGTTGATGCAGACAGCGTCATTATGACTCCATCTAAGGACTCTACAGAAGAACCACAAACTCTGGACAAATATTCTAGGCCAGAGACTGAGCCAGACAATGCCTTCCCAAAGTCCACTTTACCACCTTCTGGGAAGGTCACTGTCCAACCCCAGAGAGACATGTCTTTGTCACGCTCCAAGACAATGGGAAGCATAAATGTACCGAAGAAGTCTGTTCCAAAGGAAACCTACCAAGGGTTTATGATATGAGTGCAATGAGCGGATCGGGTGATGCGGAAAGAGGTATCCCAGGGAAGTTTGTGGTTGATAAGCATGTGGTTATACAGACCAGAAAGGCCTCCCCGTCTTCTTCACCGTCATCCTCCGCATCTTCCTCTTCTTCTTCTACCAAGAGGAAGCCGGCAGGTACCAAACAAGCAATTCCAACTGTTAGCTTGGTCGGCAGTGACAGTGTGGACTTGCCCTCATCCAATGATAAAATCACCAATAGCTTGCCGATACCAAAATGACCAGAGCGCACACCCTGTACGGTCCGATGCGGACTAAAGGGAAGATCCAGCATTCCAACAGTGAGCATACATCTTCGCCAGTGATTTACCCCGTTGCACCTGTAGTATCGACGGCATACAAGATGAGGGCACCAGTCACCAGGGATGGAGGTCACCCAACAGGAAAGTCTAAATATGGGGGCAAGGTTGGTTCCCTGAAAGAACTTAAGCCACACCCTCAAGCAGGGGCTGTGCGTGAGACTGCCAGCCATCCCAAGTCGGTGGGAGGGAGGAAGCCTCTCGGACCTACCACCACCTCCTCGCAGAAGAGACCTGTCTTCTCGTCCGCAGGATCATGGCGACAGAGGTCAGAGATCGATGATGTGCTTCTTAGAGATCATAGCACACCTCCTGGTAGTCCATTGCAGAGGAAAGTCTCAACCAAAGATTCATGACAAAGCCGTTCTTTCTTTTTAAAAACACAAATAATGAAGAAAGGCCTCCATTTTACCAAAGAGGTTCCTCATTAATGAAGGAGGCATATTCCCAAATTTGATGAACCTAGATGTGTGTGTGTGTGTGTAATTTGGGTTATTGGGTGTGTGTAAGTGGGTACAGATATGTATCAATCAGATATGATTATTTACGTTTGGTCTGGGGACCGACCTTTAACGTCACCATCTGAAAGACGTGACTCATTTTCAAACCGGGGTTGCCTGAGCCAGTTTGTAGGTGAAGACAGAGAGCTGACCAAGTGAGCATACCGCTAGACCAACTCACATCTTGCTGCCATTTTGGTGCCATTTTTTACACCTGTGCAAGCAGTGCATGTGTTTATATTCACAACATATTTTAATGAATGAATTTTTCACAAATGTTATGGTGAAGGGGAAGATGTCTGTATATTGTTTCAAGATTATCTGTAAGTAACAATCATGTAGACTCATGAGAGTAAAGTACATAAGGAATATTCATGCCAATTCCATGATCCTTACCAACGTGGCATATAACTTAAAACTTAATATTGAATTGAAAAATCATGACAAAGGCCTGATATGGACTCACTTGTTCCAAGATAATTACTGTTGGTGCTGGTCATAACACATACAATGGAATATATACAATCAATCCTGTCTTAGTAGCCAGTCTAGCCACCTCCCTATAAAGGCCACCTGTCTATAGTGGCCATGCATTTTGTCTCCCTTGAGAATGAAATGTGTGTTGTGAAACCTTTCTAGAAAGGCCACTATCTTACAGTTGTTTCTATTTTGATAATAATTGCATGGACAGGTCTCGCTTTAAAAGGGGTCTCCTAAAATTGTCAACAGTTGAAAACTATTTGAATGAGAATCATGTCAGTAGAGTTGTTTATCTTAAGGTTTAGTAATGATTGCTATTAGAATCTTTCCATTGGAAGTAAAATTTATTTGCCACTCTATTTATTATATTGAGAATAATAAGAAGTCTACTTAAAAATGTGATTTATATGTGTATTACACTGACATTTTTTATAGGTAGTTTTTATTTACTTCTAAAATAAATATAGTGAAGATTTATTTCTTCAAAAAATATATGTAGGAGTTTACAGTTAGTTATCATCATACTTGTTCATAGATGTGTAATGGGATTATTTTATTTAAGAAATTAATTTAATGAATTGGAATTGGAATATTTATATACAGTATAAATGATAAAATATCAATTTCAAAGAGTCTCCCTCCCTCTTCTCTCCCTCCATCCACCTCTCTCCCTCTCTCTTCCTCTATCTATCTCTTCCCCTCTCCCTCCATCTCTTTCACCCTTGCCCCCCCCCCCCACTCCATCACTCCCTCTCTCTTCCTCCCTCTCCCACTCCATTTCCCTCCCTCTCAGTCTGTATGTGTCTCTTTCTCTCTTCACCTCTCTCTCTCGCTCGCTCTCTCTATCTCCTTTTCCTACCATTCTACTACCATTCTCTCTAATACTCTTTCCTTCACTCTTCTTCCCTCTTGTCTCCAATCTTTCAATTCCCACTCCTGATATGCCAGTTTTCTCCATATGTCCAAAATCCCTTCAATCATATTTCTATTTCTATCTTGTGTGCATCTTTTTCTCTGTTATCCCTCAAAGAAGATGATTGAATTTCATCTTCAGCCATCTTTCACTGCTTCTCTTTTAATCTTGGAGGGTCTTTAAAAAATAAAAGTCTTGAAGATTTGTAATGGAATAGACATTTATCTCCCCTTTATTAAATTGAACATCCAAATTAAAGAAAAACAAGTGTCATCTTTTTGGAAGTTTAGAAATGTTGAAAAATAGACTTTGTTTTTGCCCTGAGCATCACTTTCGAGGGATTTTAAATTACAACATACTTACTTAGCACTACTTCAAAATCAAACCTGTATCAAGAGTGAATCCGCTTCTCTATTTTTTCTTCAAAATATTCTACATGTAGGGCCTAAATATTTTTTTAAGGAGATAAATTGAAAATGAGAAATATGATTATAAATAAAGTTTCATCAATTTCGATAGTAAGTAATTGAAATCTGTATCAACACATAGATAATTTATTTCTCTTTCATAAGACACCAAACTCATGGTAATTTTAGGTTTCTCCAGAATATTGTCTATCAAATACTTTTGTTTTTAGTCACTCTTTTTTTTACACTCTTTTGCAATACATGATGCATTTACATGTAGTTTCTACAGTAGTGACAGCTAATACAAAAATAGGCATGGTAAAATTGACTTTGGCCAGCCTCTTGGAGCCAATTGATTAAAATTCTATGCCATTGGCACCTTTTCCCAGAAAAAAAAGAAAAGCTGATTTTTATACTTTCTCTTTTTCACTCCTTGATATTGCCCTCCTTATTCTCCTAATCGTTCTAAGATGCTGTAATTGAAATCAATATTTTGTCACCATGTCGTAATCTAGCCAAAAATCCCTGAAATTGACATTTTAATTTGTGAAATAGAAGCTGCAATTATTTCAGAGATGGTATCTAATGATTAAGGAAATTCTTGATATTGTCAATTATATAGAAATGTTCAGAAGTACAATTTACTAATTTATCCGTCCAGTTTTCCTAGATATGTTACGTTTTGTTTGCTGTGCAGATGTAGGGAAAAATGTGGATATCTGATAATTTTTAACTAAATATTATACAACATACTTTCTTGTTCTTATGAAATAGCAAAACCTAAGATAAACATTAAATGGATATGTTTACCAAGTATAATATATGTGCAGTTATGTCTTTAATGAAGTAATAGTTCTATAATGATGATAGCAGTGGGGAAAAGGATAGTGACAGTGGTTGCTAGACAACAGCAGGATGTTGGTGGTGTTTAGAATAAGTAGTGAAGGAGGATAATGATAGTGATTATGATGACTGTCATTAGTCACTCTTTTTATTATTATTGTTATTGTTATTGGTATTGATTTTTATTAATACTATCATAGTGGTGGTAGTGGTTCTTATCATTATAATTATAAAGGCGATGATGTCGTGTAACTGTAATGTTTACAATTACACTACAAACAAGCTTCAATTCGGATGACACTGTGGGTTCTTGAAGTTGGGTATGCAGCTCCCACTTTGCTGCTCCCCCCCCCCCCCCAACCACCAACCATCCCCCTGGATACAAACTCGCAAGATCGAAATCCTCTTTAAAGCCCCTCTAAAGTGTTAGGAGCCCAGAATTCGCCAACAAGTTGATGGCAAAATTTCACTTAAAATGTATCATAATGTAAAAGAGGGTGTCATTTAAGACACACTTTTGCAAAGATTCCCCCCCCCCCCCCCAATATTTTTTTGAAGACAATTATTGATAAAAGAATACATAATTGGGGTTTTCTGTTGTACGCAGAAAACCTAAATTTGGTATTCTTTCATCAATATTCAACTTCAAACGAATTTCTTTTGAAATTCCTTGAAGAAATGTGTCTTAAACGACACCCTCTTTCATATTATGATACATTTAAAGTGAAATTTTGCCACCAAATTGTTGGGGGCTGCTCTCAACACATTAGAGGGGCTTTAAACCCCAAGCAGTTTCATTCCTTTCAAAGATCCCAGACACAAAAAATGCATTTCGCCCATCCGCCTTCCCCGTAATGCTGATTGCTATTGACAAATGTTACTGACGAGTCATGCCTATTTATGCAGCTCTATGATTGACAGGAGTTACTTCCAAATCTACAAAGCAATGCTTGATGTTCGTCAATCGAGTTTCTAGCCGCTAATTCCCGACTAAAAAAAAACTTCATCGATGCCGAAAAGACAAAACAGAGATGGGTAAATTAGGGGCAGTCACAGAAAGTTTTCTAACCAAATGTAACTTAGCGACTCGTGTCGGGTAAAGAAAATACAAAAATAAAGTCGCTGAGATTTTTTTTGTCTCCTCATAATTTATTTCCTGCCCCGACTCTAAAAACCAAGACGGATAAGGAGATCGAAAATCGGAAAATGACCGCTAGATCGGAATAATCGATAGAAATGCAGCTGGTTTCTTGCGATGGCATTTCTTCTTTAACAAGCTACTCCGGGCAAAAACCGATAATAAAAGCAATCGGAGGAAAGATGGGGAAACAAAGGAATACTGATAGAGAGTGTAAATGAGAAGACAGGAGATGCATGTGTAGAGAGAGAGAGAGAGAGAGAACAGAATAGATACACGGAGAGAAAGAGAGAGAACCGGGTAGAATAGATATATCGAGATAAAAAAGAGAAAGCTTGTATTGTAGGAGGACGAGAGAGATAGAAGGGCAAGGTGAGGGTAAGAGACAGAGTGACAGAGATAC